ATATACTTGTTATTTGGACGATGGAAAAGGGGTGGACTTGTTGTACTTAAATTTTTACAAAGCGTTTGATAAAGTGTCACCTTAAAGATTAGCTAAGAAATTGAGATCGATTGGAGTTGAAAAAAGATTAATGAATGGGATTGTTCATGCTAGTTTTGTATTAATGTGTCGTTCATACAAGGCGAGAGGGGTCGTTAGATGCGTTTGAATGTCAGAGTAAGCGAGTTTAAAGTTGAGTTTTACTTTTATTCTGTATATTAGGTAAATAAGTATCCTGGATTTTGTTAACAAATTAGATTTACTTTTTAACATTTGGGTGTACATATCTCACGATATTTGAAATACAAATCACTTTGAATTTGAACTAACCATCAATACTAGTAGTACTAATACTATATTATAATATCTAATACTAATATTAATAGTGGTTAGTTCAATTTAATTTTCGAAGCGATTTGTGTTAATATTGTTAAGTTGAACTTCTGCTACTGGTGTTAGTGTTATTATTGCTATTAGGTGATTGGGCCTGTTATTTAATATTTCTAAGTAAGTTATAACTGATAGTAATAATATAATATCTTGATTATTTCTTGTACTCCCTAGCAGTGAAGTGATAGTATTAGTACTACTGTTTGACTTAATTAGTTAACGTTACTGTTAAAGTACTTGTATTTCTATAACTGTCCAGTACAGTAAGTATTCTGCAATTCAACGGTATATTGTGTAGTTACTAAGTTAGCAAAACTGTTAGCGTTAAGTAGTACATGTCAAGCAATTCATTAAGACTATGGGTAAATATTTGTAGTATGATGTTGTAAGTATGTTAATAATACTATATGTAGGTATGATTTGAATTTTTTAATATTTAACTTATTAGTTATTGGTGTGTTTCACAATAAGACTGTTATTAAGAGGGTGCTTGTTTGTAAACCATACTTGACTGACATTATTTTCTCTTTCTCTCTTACTGTAGTTTCTGCAATTTTTAGAACAATTTTAATTTGTTGTATTGTGCATTTGGATAATATTGTTTCAAATTACATTTTAAGTAAAATAAACAACTGCATGTTTTTTTTTTAATTCAAGGATAGTGTAATGATCATTTTAAAGTACAGTAGCCTAAAATAAAAAATACATTATACTGTAATGTCTCTATTTCAAGAGCTAAACTTCAGCTCATCTCCTTTTCAATTCTTTTGGCCAGCATATGGGTAAGTATATTCTGGAAACTTCAGGGTGATACAAAGAGTATGTTTACTACATATATTGTTATAATGTGAAGATCATGCTCATATGAAGATGAGTTGTATAGAGCATAACATTTTAAATCTTCTTTTTATCATCCTGGAAATTTAAGACTACATTTTCCAATATACTTATAATGAGCATTGGAAAGATTTTTTAAGCTGAAGTAGTTTTTAAAATACGTTATACTAGTCAGGCTTAGACCATGCTGTGGTAGGATGAATCTTAACCTCAGTGCATGACACCATAACCAGACATTCAGCCCATTATTTGGACATGTACATACTATCAGAACATCAGGTTTCACCCCCAGCATATGGAACTTATTATCCTTCTCTGACTATAGTGTCATGGTATTTTTTTTTCTTCATTGTGCCACAGTGATGTTTTTAGATCATGGTTACCAATGTGCTGTTAAAAAAAAATTGAAATATGAATATTAAGGTCTGTTATTATGCATGACAGTAGGCTCCCTAAAAGATGAGTTTCATATACCATAACACCTTAACTGAGTGTGTATAGAGTGAATCCATTGGACCAACCTCATCTTCGAAAAATCATATTAACTCTAATTCCAAATTAATGAAGTGTTTACCGCAAAATGTGGTAAGCTTTTAGTCAACACTACAAACCTGTTGTACACAAAAAATCAGATATGGTACTAAAGTTTTGTGTCTGTGAAATGTCAAAGTAGGTCTGACAAGTTATAGTGCAAGGTAATGTTCATGTCAAGAATAATAGTGCTTTTGTTCATTGTATTGTTTGCAGATTGCACTTGCATAACTTTTACAACATCCTAAATGTATATTTAAAGATTCTCTCAGAATTCCTATATACTGTATCTGGTATTTGTTCTACTCTACTATGAACTGTTGAACAATGTTGGTTACTTTGACATCTGACATCAAATGCAAAATACTATGTTAAATGGCACTCTGTACAATGTCATGACATGGACACTTTGACCAAAATTCTTGCACAAAGAGTCAAATCTTCATTATACCACTCAGGTGTTTTCAGAGTATGTTTCCAATTTTTTGATGATATGAGTTAGGAAGATAGTGAAGTGAAATTATTAGTTCTTGAAATACAGACATTAAAATGTGTTTCTAAAGTTTCATGATATACGTAACTGAAGGTGAGCTATATGTAGCCTAACTCTTTTCAGTCTTCTTTTTTCAATCCTTATTTGTGGTAATAGTCATTTAAAAATATTTTTGGAATATTGTGATGATATACTGACTAGAAAATGAATGTGAATATAAACTTAGCAGAATTGAGTCCTTGGATTATATTGTAGAATCACATGATAAAACTAGTTTACAGTTGGTATAAGAAGTTGTTAAAACTAGGGCAAGCAAATAAGAGAAAATATTCTAATATAATACATAACCACTCCTCACATCTAGCTTTATCGATTCAGTGCTGCCCTCTATATGCAAACATTTTTGCTTGCCACTAGTTTTGAAACTCTCACCTAATATCGTGTTTCCACATGATATTGCTGCATTGTTTTATACAAATGAACATGTGACACCTCCTCCTGGTTCCCCTATACGGTTTGTTCAGTCATCTCTTCTTGATTCAGCTTTTGTGTGTTCTTCAATTCCTAAGTAATAATAATATCCACTCTGTCTAGTGTTGAATATAAAGATATGGTTCACTCTATTCTCTTCATTGCGAATATGATGGCTATTGTGCGGCAGGAAATGAAGTCTTACATGCAGCCTGGGCCTCTTTCTGAACCTGACATAGACATCCCGTCCTTTACTATGAGGATTTGGACAGTCTTTTCCCACCACCTCCTTTTGCCAACACTTCTTCTAGTGCTATTGTGAATGTACTTTGATCTCCTGTGTGATTATTTCTTAATATTCGTAGCCTGAACGGACGTTAACTACATTCATAGATGGCTCCACACCGAAAGACTAGTATTAAAGTTTTTCTTCATTATCCATTCAAGCATTATTAAGCGAATATGAAGTTTTCTACAGTTTTTCTTATCATGGTTTCTCATGTGTATTACCTTCTTTCTCCTGTTTGTTGTGATTCTTCACTTTCCCTTCTTCAGAGTATTGTATTTTTTATCATTCCCCTGATATCTAAGTCCATGTTGAACATTTTTTTGTCTCAACTTCACTCTGGTTCCACCATACCTTGACCTTCTTGCCTAGTTGACCCTTACGCCTTGGCTTATAATTGGGCTGAAGTCCTTTTCTTGGACTCCAAAACTCAGGAGTATTTTCTTCAGGCGTAGAGTTCAGATCTTTCATTTTCTGTACATCTTTTTCAGGCCCAGTTTTCCTGCCTTCACTTTTACCCTCACTGCCTCTTTACATTATTTTTCCTCTATCTATCTTCTTTCAGAGGCAATCCACCATTCCCCTGAGGTTTATTTAGTAAACACTCAATCCCTTCCTTTTTTCTACATTGCCATGTTTTCTTCCTTGATCTTGTCCCTTCTCACTTGGTTACTCTCTTGCTGAGATTTATTAGAGAGGGATGCCCTTTTTACCCAGGTATGTTTACCTCCCTTTTATCTCGAGGGTAGTTTTGTCTAGCTCCTTTCCTCCACCAAGTAGGTTTTTGGTGCACCAACATTTTTCTTTGTCTTCCCTTTTGTCGCACCTGTCCCAAGCATCTTCTCTTCCCATTACTCTCTCCCATTCTGTTACTATGCTCCCATGCATTCTTCTTCGGTACTTAAGCTTTAGTACCAACAGTTTTGTCAGTGACTCTCCTTTGGGCTAAGGAATAGTGGAACAACATTTATCTCAATTTGTGGATCTATAGATTTTCTTTGCAGCCAACTGTTTGGTGCTACAAGTTTTATCAAAAGGACTTACCCTTTGTTTTTCCAATCCTTTTTCATTGTCTCCTGTTTCCATTTTTTTTCCTCCTCCAGGGGATCCTGTATCTCATCAGCATCTGTCTGACATGCTATTGAAACGGTTTCTCACCCTTCTCAGGGATTTGATTCCCCTGTCTGTTTGTTGTTCCCATGAAAACCGGGGATTGGAATCTGGTCGTAGATCTTTCACATTTCAATCAGTTTCTTGACCTTTCTCAGTTTACCATAGAGAGTTTTCTCACTCTCCAGTGCTTTTATGCAGACAACTGGCTTGTTTTAGCTCTATCCCAACAGGAATCCTCATTTGCTTTTTTGAGAGGCAGCTTGTCTAGGTTGGCTGCTCAAGCTAAAGTCTCATCTCACACCCACATAGTATATGGTTAATTTGAGTGTGTTCTTCAATTCCCTTCACAGTAGAGTACAGCCTTTTCTGCTTCTTTTCCTACATGAGAAGTTCTTTCTCTTTTTGAGACTTGGGAACCCCTTGTCCTCTTGAGTTGTGCTGACATGCATCCTTTACAGTGAACTTTACACAATCAGTGGTACCTCTTTTAGGATCCTTTGTCATTCCTTGTCCATCTTCCCCTTCTTTTCTACAACAATCTCACCTGGTGGCTTGGCAGGATCAATATATAGAGGGTGTTCCTCTTCCTCCCTTGCATTTAGATCTTCATCTTTTTTATGGATGCTTCTATAGCATGTTGGGGTACTTGTCTCGACTCTTTCAAGATTTTCGGTCAATGGAAGTAGGAGGAATCAACCTTTGGCAGTTCTTATTGGCTCATTGCACTTTGGATCATTTTCTTCCAGTTTTACATGACCATTTAAAAACTGAACTGTGGTATTCTATATCAATTACCATGGAACATTCAGTCTCACTCTCTGTGTTTCCAAACCCTCAATCTCCTCTTTTGGGCTCATTCTCTGTGAGTCCATCTTGTGGACTGTCATATTCCAGGTGCCCTGAATCTTGTTGAAAATCACTTTTTGAGGCCTGATCAGATACTTCCCATGAATTGGTCCCTTAATTATCATGTTTTTTTATGCCTTTACCACTTATGACTGTGCTAAGCTTTCCCTATTCTGGTCTCCTGTTCCACATCCATTGGCACTGGTGGTGGATGCATTCAATCAGAACTGGTCGAGTATTTTTCTTTATGTTTACTTCCCCACTTGTCTCCTCCCTCATGTTCTTACCTTCATTCAGGATACTTTTTGTTGGGTCCTTCTGGTAGTGGCCTATTGGATGGGTCAATTGTGGTTTCTTTTGCTGAGCCTTCCTCCTTTCCCCTTCCATTTTGCTGCTCCCTTCTTCTTCAGCTTCACACTTCTCTCTTCCATCCACCCATGCCATCACTCCAGTTTCACATGTGGGATTTGTCCAGCCCCTTACACAACAGTTGGTACTCTTTTCACATGTTGGCTTCTTCCTGTCTCATTATTTTCACCTATCCTCCTCAGAAGTTTATCAGTGGATGTAGTGTATTTATCACTGCTGATTTCCATGTTGATCCTTTCTTTTCCCATCTATCCGAGTTCTTCACATGACTTTTGTTCAACCAGGACTCATCTATCTCTATTGTTGCTGATTACTGGGTGGCTCTCTAGGCTAATTCTGGTTTTCTCATTTTGGTAGGGGTGTTTCTCCCCAGTCCTTATGATGCTCTTTCATTCTTTTCACCTCCATTGCTCTCCCTGTCCTTCTAGCCTACCAGACTGGAATTTTGAACATTGTTCTCCATGCCCTTACCCTACCCCCCTTTGAACCTTTAGCTTTTTGTTCCCTATACCATCTGTCTATTTCAACTTATTTCCTTCTCATCTGTGGTCATCAACATTCTGATTTGTACTCCATCAATTTTTCTCATATTCTGTTCCATTGCTTCTGTATCCATCTCTATCTCTATCACACTTTTCTTCCTAAAACATCTGTGGCATGTGAGGTGACGGTGCATTCACCCCCTGTATTTCTTCTTTCCATTTCTCATCCTTTTCCCCTTTGAATACCATTCATCTCCTCTGTCTTTTTGTGTGGTCCATTATTATTTGGCCTGCACTTCTTTCTGTCCTGGTTCCTGATCTTGTCACTTTTTTCTGTGAAATCCTTCCTTTACTCATGAACTTTATCCAATTACTCTCTTTGGAGAAGTCCAATAGCTTATCCATTTAGTGTATTTTTCATTGGATGGAGATTCATGTCAGGTTTCCTCTCATCAAATTCTCCATCTAACTCACTTATTGGCTGTTCACTTCTGTCATCTATTGAAGGAGATTGTTTGGGCTTGCATGTGGACAATCCCTCACACCTTTGTTGCACAATATCTCTGAACAGGCTATAGACTGCCTCTGTTTGCTATTATACACGCATCATACCATCTCTGACTAAGTCTTTTTTTTTCTTAATTACTTACTCAAAGGATAAAATTTTGCACTGGTCCCTCTACTATGTCGGCATGGGATTCTAACTAGATGTGAGAGTAGATTACATATATTGAAAGGTACCATTTTCCAGCACTGAAAATATACTTCTATCACACTTCTCAGCCATAATCCCCATTTTCTGTGCATCTGTATTCTTACCTAATTTCAAAGTAATGATTGAAAAATCAGTATAGAGGGAGCCAGCTGCACTAGGAGGCGGTGTCACACTCCTATTGGTGGAGAGTTGTTGCATGTTCACTTGCATGCAATAACACACCAATATCATGTGGAAACATGAGATTAGATGGGAGATTAGATTTTGTTTGAGCATCCTGCTCCCCATCATAAATTCTGGAGTCATAAAATAAAATAAATGAAATATGGCGTAATACATGCATGTTTAAAAGATTAGATGTTGTGGTTTAACTGTTAGACAAAAACTTTTGTTTGTTTAGATCTAAATAAGTAAATATATATATATATATATATATATATATATATATATATATA